AGTCATAAAAAGAAAACATGACATGTAATTTTTTTTTTAATATGATATATAACTGAATTTTTTTCAACATGTAAATTTGAATATGAGGATGTTTCATGGCAATTTTGTTCAAAAATCTTTTCTCTTAGTTAAAAAGAATTAAAATTTAAAAAAAGTTGTTTTCAAAAACACTTTATGGTTAAAAAAAATCATCCCTAAATATAAAGCATAGGATAAGAACTTATTTGGATACAAAAAAATAACAAAAAGTTTATTCGAAAAAAGTGAAAAAAATACAAAGATTTGTTTAGTATTTTAATCTTTTTTTCTTTCTTCGGAATTATTGAATCTTAACATGAATTACTTAGAACTTATTATTTATAAATATGGATTTTATGTTGTTTCAATATAAAATTTTGATAAACTCCGTGCAATTAAAAATTAGATAATGATTAAAATATGATAAAAAATTGTTTAAAGATTAAAATAAAAAAAAATCGTGTTCCATGCTTAGAAGTTAAAACCTATTCTTGTGTCCTCACTCGTACAATTTCTTTAGACAACAATGTGGATTGAGATCACGATCATATACAATATACTAAAATTTAATAAAGAGTCAAGATTGTTAGAAAAATAATATAAGAAAATAAATAAGAAGGTTTAAGGCCTCCTGTAACACGGTTTTTAAAGAGTTGTTGTCTACTATGATACAAGTCTATTGCAGAATTCTATTGAAAGTTGAAGTCTATTTTAAAAGTATGTTTTCCTTTATAAACACTAAATCAATGTGTTTTAAAGTTGTGTCTACAGTGTTTTAACAGTGTTTGTTAAAAACATGTGAACAATTAATCATTGTATTTTAATAGATGGGTTGGTTGAAAACATTTCTTTTTATTTTAAGAGTTATATTTTAATCTAAACAGTTACATCTGAATAAGATTTTCAGTAAATAAACTATCTAATAAGGATTTGGATCATGAATGTCTAAACAAAGCAACTATAAGTTTAAGCATTTTCTTTTATAATTAATTGAACTTTTCTTGGCTACTTGGAGTACTAATCACAACGATTAAGACATTTAAATGTCCAACTTTTAATTCATCACTTTCTCTTATTTAGATTAAAGTTGAAGTTTATGGATGACTCTTGTTATTTTTAAGGTATCCTACTTCGACTATATTATTTGAAATATTCTAGAAACTACTTGTTAAATACTTGAATATATTAAAAATTTGATTAAAATAAATTTAAAATCAATTTATGTATATTATTGATGAAAATTAAAACTTATAATCATATTTAGAGCAATTAATAAATTTTACTAAGTATTACATTAATTATAAAAAATTTATAACAAAAAATAATATATAAAACTAAATTTTAATACTAAATATTAATATTTATAATTTAGTCCGGATAGTGAATATCTTAAAATCACTAACCAACTTGCTACTAATATAGTAATTTTAATAGCCAAACTTGATTATAATCTTACTTAATCTAATTGTATTCATTACGATCCATATTATAAATAGATAACTAAGAGGTGATTGGAAACTGTCAATGATGTAAACTGACACCGTGACTATATATCTCACAAAATTTCACTAAGGCAAGGACGAAAGTTAGAAATGTTACCACAAGAACAAGAAAACATGGAATCAGTGTACGATGGGTAATATATTTACATTAAATATTGCAATTTGAAGAGAAAAATAATAATCTAATTCATGAAAAGTCCATTAATTAGATGCTTTGTTTTATTCCATTTGGAGGATAAGATTTAATTATAATACGTGACCCAATTGGGGAAGAAGTTGCATGTTGAAATATTTAAACCCTTAATATTTTGGACTCTCAATCCACTAAAATATAAACAAATAAGAGCAAGGAAACTTTCTATGATGAAGATTGCGGCTGGAGTTATCAGTTTTATATATTTATTTACCTAAAAGAGTTGGGATTTTGTAATTAACTTTTGTTCATTTTTTAATTTGATGAAAACATGCAATAAATATAATGTTTAATTAAAATAACACTTCAACTCGGTATTTTTACAATTTTTTTCTTCAGATTCATGGTTTTCTAAGAGTTCCTTTGACTTTGCAATTGGAATTGCATTGAAGGGGAAATGGCAGCTTTAACATAACATTGAAGGGGAAAAATCATGGAGAGAGTGATCAAATTGGGTACCATTGTCAACTCATTCAAAACATCTATATATGTATATCCATATATATATATATATATATATAAAAACTCAGGTGTTAATTTTTTTGTTAAAACTATATGTTCTTTTTTTTTTTCTTTTGAATGGCTAATTAACACTCTTGCATTTTTATATTTTAAATTTATTTTTATTATTTTTTTCTATTAAAAGTCATCAAACATCAAGTTTATAAAATATTTAAAATTTAATATAAAATATAATAAAGTCAAACTTGTTTTGTTAAGCTCCATGAAAATCAAATACGAACAAATAATATAAGATGGAACTATAAAAGTGTCTACGAGTGGTTGGTAGAGTTTTTTTCAAGTCTGAACCTGATCTAATCCGATTCATTTATTTTATTTGTAAATATTATATTTTATTAAAATTTAATTTTAAAATATATTTAACAATATCTAAATAATAGATAAATAGATAAGTTAGGGCTTGAGCTTAACTTTTTTTTTTTTGTTTTTTAAAAAAAGATTAGGCTAGATAAGTTCAACTTTAACCCAATTCAACTCATGAACACCTCTAAATCGAAGTAGTTTTATTATATTAATTTTCTGATTTATAATACTTCTGCAATTTTATTCAGGTATAAGTCTAATTTTGATAGATAGATGTTATATTATACAATGAGAGGTAATCTTCTCTCATTCCAAAAAAGTTATCTCCCATTTTAGAATCGAAACCCGAAACTTAATAAGTTGATATTTTTAAGTTTTAATTTGGATGTCCTCCTGTAAAACCAATTCATTTACAAATTACACACTTAAAATAAAACTAGTATAATATGTATAATCAAATTAAGGAATTCTTGAGCAAAAGTCACTACATTGCCTCCCTACAAATTGTTAAGATGGCTAAAATAAAATTAAAAAACAAAGAAACCACCAAGCCAAAGTGCACCTTAAATTTGAATGGTAACATGTTCCTTTCAATTTTCTTTCCATACAACCAGAAGAGATATATACCAAAACTATTCACAATACAATTGTTCAGAGGCATAGCTTCCTTATGTGATGGGGGGGCCAATTTAAATTTTTTTATATATTATATAAAATTTTTCACTTTTTTAATAAATTTTTTTAATGACCCCTAAAATAATTTTTTATTTAATAATCAATACAGATAAAGAATAACAAATTAAATAATTTCATATGCGTGACTCAATTTTAATAATCAATACAGATAAAAATAATTTATTTGTTTGTTTTTTCTATCAATTTATTTTATTATTTATATTTATTTATTTATTTCTATTCTATTTACTTATATATTCTAAATCTCTATAATTTTTTTTATAAATTTCTATAAACTATCAATCATATTCTTTTTCTTTCTTTTTTATTATGTCATATGTGGATTCTATCTTCTATGATTTTAAATTTTCAAAATAAATAAATTATTATATAATTTTTATATATAACTTATAGTGTTGCACTGTTGTTTAGAATTTCATCAATATATTATTTTTTATTCAGAATAACCAATAAGTTTTATCATGTATGTTGTAAAATTTAAATAACAATGATATATATACAAATTGGTAGAATGAAATAATTGTATTTTTTTCAATACAGTTTATTTATTATATACTTTCAATAGCTCTCAAAATATTTTTTATTTAATAATTATTTTTATTCCTAAAATTGTTTGATAAAATTAGAGTCATTATAGTTAGCATATTGCTAGTTAAGGCGAGCAAATATATTCTAAACTAATATACTTGAATATATTAAATTTAAAAAATATAAAAGTGAGTCTAGTAATCCAAACTCATTAAATTTTAATATAAATTAAATTTATCATAACATATTATATCTTAACAATCTAACCTAATAGCCTATAATAACATATTATATCTCAATAGTTAATCCATATAACGTAATATGTTAATTACTAATTTAAGAGATAAATAAAAGATAAGAGAAGAACTAAAACACGCAAGATAAAGAGACAATTTATTTGAATTTGAAAAATTATTTTCTTTTCCACTCTTGTGTGCAGAGAATGAGAGAAATTTCTTTCATGGTTCCATTCAATCATATATATATATATATATATATATGATACTATCATTATTATTAATGTGTATTTTTTTGAATATCCAATGTCTTGTGAATTTTATTCAATCTTTTAAATGAGTAATAATTGAATTATATATAAAGTTTTATTTAATTATTTAATATCTCTTTTTATTTGATTTTTTTAAAAAATGTTCTAACTCCGCCCCTGTAATTATTTTACATTTTTAAAGTGAGAAACATTTAGCAATGATCAAGTTTCTGATTGACTTGGCCTTTCTATATACTCCAAATTTGTCCACTTTCAACAAAGTTAGAAGGCAAAATCATAGTCTTTTCTGCACTATATGTGCGGATATGTATCTCTTTTCGGCTTATAGCGGTACCAAAATTCCATTAGCCGCTATGTCGACGCGTTAAGGCCGACGACATGCCCATGGCTTCCCATTGCCCGCGATTTTGCTTGGGAATTACAAGTCTACGTCTTTCATCCAACCTATATTGTCAAAGTAAACCCTCCAATCATGCCACTCCTACCCCATCTGTCACGTCGCCATAGACTTTGTATAGTTTGAGAAAAAATGGTGCCCACCGAAATCAACTCTGTCCCCATGTCAAATAATTCTTCACAGCCCACTCCCCCTTCTCGCTTCATGATTATGTATTCTGACAAGTTGCTAAATTTATACTGCACAATTTTCTATCATTTCATCTTCTAGGAAATATCCTTCATGTTTTGCTTCATCATCCTTTGAATGTTTCTATTTTAGCTTATGCAGCGTTGACTCTCTTTTTTTTTTTATTGTGTTTCTCCTTATAAAGAAGCTAGCTTTGTTGTAACGAGTTGTGAACTACCTTCTTTTGCTATCTAGTTTTGAGTTGAAAGAAGATTGGTGAGAAGGTATGGGAAACCCTGATGCAGATCATTCTGCGTACGAGTCTCAACAGATTCAAACGGAATACGAGCTACAGCCTCAGGAATATGAGCCTAACCAGGAAGCTACACCGATTCCTGATCAATATTTGGCAGCAACTTATCAGAACAATCAACAGGGGATGCAGTACCAGGCTCAGCAGATGGGCACAGTTGGAAATGATCCTCAGACTCAGCAACAACAGTTCCAGCCACAGCAGCAGCCACCACCATCTCAGCAGCAGCCACCACCAGCTCAGCAGCAGCCAACACAATATCCCCCACAGCAGCAGCCGACACAATACCCTCCACCGCAGCCTAACCAAGCCTATCCTCCGCCTCAGCAGGCACAATACCCACCCCAAAACTTTCAAAACAATCCAATGTATCAAAATAGGCCGAACCCGAACCAGCCTGCAGCATATCCACCACAGCCAGTGCAGTACCCGCCCAAGAGCCCGCCAACCAATCAGATGTACTCAAATGTAAGCCCAGGGGTGATGCAACCTCAGACCGTCTACGCTCCTAACGCTTCACCACAAGCATTTCCTCAACCTGCTTACCTGCCTGTACAGTGTCCGGGTATGCCACCTGTATCACCACATAAACCCGGTGGTCAACCTGCTGCTGTAGCCGGAATCCCAGTTGCTGGAGACGGTTGGAGAAGTGGCCTTTTCGATTTCATGGATGATCCAATGAATGGTAAAGCTCCTCCTTTTTCACGTTTCTCTATTTCTGTACATGGGTGCATGCACAAGCAAAGAAAAACTACACACGTCGTGTGGTCGTTGACTCATTGCACACTGCTTTTGTTTTCATATTAACAGGCTACAAACGTTTGATACTCTACCATATTTGTCTCACTCTTTTTTTCTACTTATGAAAGTTACAAAGAAGGGAATTTACTGAATAAGCCAAGAGATGGCTACCAAGTCACAATGAGATTATTTGTCTCATTTGAAGCAGTAAAAGTTATTAATTCAATTTTAAACGTTATATTTATAAATAAATTGATCTTTACAAATCGAGTCTTTTAATTATCTAATGAATATTGGTCATGTCAACTGTCAAGTGAGAAAAATAAATAGAGAGATAACAATATAACGGTGAATACCGTACAAGTTGGTGAAATTATATTAAAATCAAATAAAATAAAAACTATATCAATCACACTAAATATATATATATATATATATCAAAATAAAGTGACGTGTATATCTATATATGTATTAATTTTTTTAATCGAAAATATTTTTTATAGATGCATCACTGAGGATTTGACTGGTTTTTATTTATTGTTACTGCTTTCAGCTCTAGTGACAGCCTTTTTCCCATGCTTGACATTCGGCCAGATCGCTGAAATTGTGGATGATGGCCACACAAGTAAGTAAAGAAGACTTTTAGTATTCTTTCCCATGCATGCATAATAAAAGAATTATGAAAAATTGATATGATAAAATACAAGTAAGAATATTAAGCGTTTTAAAAAAAAGAACATATAGTTTTGAGATGTCAATATATATATATATATATAGTGTTTTAAAAAGGGAAGGAAATTTAATTTTCATGCATGGTGTTGGAACAGCTTGTGGAACCAGTGGACTGCTTTATGGTGCGATCGCCTTCTTAATTGGAATGCCATGCCTAATGTCATGCACGTACCGGACCAAACTAAGAAACAAGTTCGGGCTCCCGGAGGCTCCAGCCGCAGATTGGGTCACTCACTTCCTTTGTGAATGGTGTGCTCTTTGCCAAGAGTACAGGGAGCTTCAACATAGAGGCTGGGATCCTTCTATAGGTAAACAATGCATGATCAACATTGCCATGTACAGAAGAAAAATTGCATTGGAGAAACAATGTTAAATGGGTTATTAAACATGTTTGGGGGTATTTGTTTTTGTAGGATGGCAAGGAAACCTGGGAAGGAACCAGAACATGCAGCCAGTGCCAGTAATGATGGCACCAATGAACCAAAGAATGATGCCTTGATGATGAGCAATTGATTTTCCCCAATGGCTTTGATTTGTTTGTTCAAGTGTTTTGTGTTTGGATTGCCTATATTTTCGAGTCAAATGCTCCTAATTTAATTTTTATCGAGAAAACCAAATTCTCAACAATTATGTCTCGTTTTAATTGCTTTCTCAATGAAATTTTATGTTAATGAATCACTATAAAATTAAGATTTATGAATATTAATTTCGGGATTTATGAGATTTGTGTATGTTTTAAATAATATTACTTATATAAAAAAGTAAAATCTACAATTAATCATAATGAAAAAAATTCTCCACTTATTTACATAAGAAATCAGTGAAAAAACTAACAAATAAGATAATTAAATAAATTTAACATAAATGCAAACCAAATCCACACATTAAAAAAATTCTCTCATCGCCATTGAGATAATTAGGTATGTTTGATTAAGACATTCTACACAGTTATAAAAGACAAGTGATGTCGTATAAATTAAATTTATTTTTCCATTTTGTCATAATTATGAAAATTTGAGGACTCATTTTCGCTGCTATGTAAGAAATTATTTACTTACATGGTAGCTAAGGTAGTTAAAAACAAAATAAAATTGCACTCGAATATTTAATTTATTGATTGGTATATGATTTCCTCTCCCTCTTAAAAAGAGTAAAATTCGAATTTTTTTTCCTCCAAATATAAAAACAAAATAAAATTATTGAAAAATATTTTTCAGTGTGAATAAAATTTTCTTTCACCCTTAAAATAATCTTTCATCAGCTTATCATATACATTCCCCCAATCTACCTTCGTTGCCGGCATTTTGATGTGTATTGAGGGAACTTCATGACAAAAACATATTAAGTCTTAGTTTATTTTCTGGATGAGACAAATTAAGAACAGAAGAAAGGAGAATTACATAAATGGCTATCGATACATACAAGAAGCGCAAAAGCAAACAAAATCAAATGAGCCAGCCAAAAATAAATAAATAAATAAATAAAGAAAAATTAAGAGGCATTGCCCTAGCAGGATGGAGTATATATCCATGCATCAAGAATATATCAAGACAGAGAATATAATAGGGCTGAAACAGGAAGCAATTGCCATCATCACCAACACAGGAAAGCAGCCTTGATAAAGTGATATTGCATTGAAATAAATCAGCAAGGAAATATGAAGTAATCTTGACAGGAAGGTTTCCATAGAAGTCTATCCTGGTAAGCAGCTGATTCTATATCCCTATCCCTCCTTCAATTTCCATTTTAAAAGCTTGAGAATTTTTTGTCTGAATTTAATTGAACAATTTTATGTAGTTTTCAATTCTTTGATGTTATTTAAATTGATGAAGTAGATTAAAACCTTTGTGCTATTGAAAAGAATTACTTGAAGGTGCCATTTTTCTTTTTTTGGGGGGATAGGACAGAGTCCATTCTTTACTCAAAAAGCTAGTAATGGAAGTTAACTTGAGATAGGTTACCAGTAGTAAGAGTTTTATCTTATCGATTCAATTTGATATTGAATCTTTCAATTACTTCACATGAACTGTTACATGATCATAAATATTAATACTCTTTGGTTGGGTAAAAAGTATTATTCTCTTATAATCCCAAAATGATGGGACTTTTTGTTTGAAAGTTTTCATAAATTTATAGCTAATTGTTGTTACTGTGATAACAATTTTGACTTAACAAAAATCACAAATGCCTTTTTGATAGTAATGAGTTCAACACTATACGAGTCTCCAATACTAATTGATTTAGAAAATAGAAATTTTAAGATATTTGTCTCATTACATAGAACTTCTCTAATATTTACTTGCCCCGGACATCTACTTGTTGTTCCCTTCATATTGAATTTTAAATAATTTTGTAATGGGTTTTTCCACACTATTTTTTGGCTTTGTCCACTTTTATTGTTAAGACGAGTCTAGTAAATCTAAAAAAAAAAAAATCATAGAATTACAAGACATCCCTGTCCTCTCTATTGTTATTTAATTCTATCATCTCTACTCAACTTAATTTGTTTCATGGTAATTAAGCAAATTGTTAATACCTACTTTAATTTGATAAAAATTTGGCCTTTGATTTTCTTTTGTATCCATCAGAGAAAGAAGAACAGTGACGAGCTAGCAATGGGGCAAATTAAAACAGGCCCTTCTGTTTCCGAACCTCATCATCAAGTCCAAGCAGAACCTGAGCCACAATGCCAAGCAGTTGCATTGCTACATGAACCTACTCAAAATCCAGCATCGGCAACAATCTACCAGACTCAACGAAGTACACGAGCGAATGAAGCATTACCTCAGCAGCGGCTACAACAGCAACGCTACCAACCACAACCTAACCAGCAGGCGTATGGGGTGGTTCAGCCAGCAGCTCCACCCGTGCCCTCACAGTTTCCTCCCCAAACCGCACAAAACACTGGACCTAACCAGCATCAGGATGTGGGTGTGACTGTGATCTATCAACAGCAACAAGGAGTACCGCAAGCAATATATCAGCAACCTCCGCCAAGTTATCCTCAAAATTATATGGCGCCGCCTGTTGCTGCTTCGAGCTATGTATCACATTCACAAACCTTTCATGATGTTACTTACCAAGTTCCTCCACAATTTGTGGTTATGCCACCATACATTCATGGTACTGTGAGTCAAATCGGCGCTGCATCGGGGTTTCCAGTGCCTGTTGAGGGCTGGAAGACTGGCCTGTTTGATTGCATGGATGACCCAATGAATGGTACAAGATTAAATCACTAAACCCTGTTTGCACGCCGCACAAAATTTTACGCCTGACGGATGCGATTGCTCTATCCTTTGTGCCTTGCAGCTCTCATAACAGTTTGCTTCCCATGTCTGACATTCGGCCGGGTTGCAGAGATTGTGGACGAAGGCCATACCTGTAAGCTATAATCTTTTCTCATAGTTAATTTGCAGAATTACGTCTATAAAGTAAAATCTTCTTCCAAAGTGAAGATCTCAAATTCGAATTCATCCACTCCAAGTCAGCTATATACTAAAGTCATCAATGTCTGAAAATTGTTTGACAGCTTGTGGAACCAGCGGATTGCTTTACGGTTTGATTGCATTCTTCATCGGGGTTCCCTGCATACTATCTTGCGCATACCGCACCAAACTTAGAAACAAGCTTGGGCTAGTTGAGTCTCCAGCACCAGACTGGGTTACTCACTGTTTTTGTGATTGGTGTGCTCTTTGTCAAGAATATCGAGAGCTTCAACAAAGAGGGTGGGATCCATCCATAGGTAAGAAGTAACTACAACCCATCAAACTAATGTATTTATCAATAAATTTCTTTATCGACCATTGTTTAACCTTTGGGTTATTTTGTGTTCCCAGGATGGCATGGAAACTTAGCAAAGAGACAGAGCATTCAGCAGCAGCAACACCTTGCCATGATGCCCCCAATGAACCAATCAATGTTTGCTTGATACTCTGCAAATGGTTCAATATTTTGTAGTTTTATTTGTTAATTTTCTTAAAGAGTGTTAAGATCCAAGATATGAATATCTTTTCTCTCTCCCTTCTAGACTTTGACGAATAGAAATTAATTGTAACTTTTATTAATTATTTTACTTTCTTATTAAAATGGTTTTATACATTAAAAAAGCATTTGAAAGATAAAGATCAGAAGGAAATTCAATAAACATTGAGCTTAACAGGGATACAGACAGATACAGAAAAGATAGCAGTTCCCTGCAGCTACTAGAAGCAGAAAGACACCTTAAAGACACCATAACTACAATATCTCAGCTTGAAAGACATATGTGCCTGTAAAGCAGATGGTCAGCAACATACAGAAACCATCTGCAAAAACAATAGGAGAAACCACCTGCATACACTAAGAAACAACTCCCCATTGTCTTAGCAATCAGAGCACTAGATTCTTGAAACCAATTTAAAGGGGAACACATTTTAAATTGAGAGAAATAATCAGAAAATGATAATTAACACTTGTTCAAAAATTCAAATAAGAAGCTTTTAGTTTCCATATATGACGATTATCATTGATCATCATTTAACATTTGTGTTTTATTTTTCCAAAAGTAAATTACTAACATCTTATCATCTTATGTTGACCAAACTTGATCAATTATTAGGATTAAAAGAACACTTTATTTTTCAAAAAAAATTATCAAACCTTAATTTTTGCAAAAGGAAAACGTTGGGGCAGGCTTTAAGAAATCAAACAAACCCATGCCAACTCAAAAATTTGACAAGTTTTGATATTTAATTTAATTGAACTACCTTGTGGGCTAAGGCAAGTAAAACCCTAATTGTAAATTAAACTATCTTTAAGTAAGGACATCAAAATATGTTTTTGACATAATTTTATTTGTTTCTTTATTTAATTGGTAGAAATTTATGTTAATTTTCATATTAAAGAAAAACAACAACCCTTCTCAAAGTAAAATTATTCCTTTTGCTCTTTTTAAAGTTAGAGCGCCTCTCTTCTTTATCTCCAACCTCAGTCAATGATCTGCCAAAACTCTTCCAGAAGAAAAACATAGGAGCTCTAAAAACCATACAGATGAACAATCCAGGCTTGTCTGACGATGTTGATGCCACTGATGCCGAGATAGAAGTCGCCAATATCTTGCTAGAATTGTCGAGGCTTTGGATAGAACCTGTAGTTTCAAGATGGGGATTTAGAGGAAGAAGATCAGCCCTTGAAGAAAGCCTTTATCTTTCTGATCAATCCATCCCTCCTCCTATGGCTGATTACGCTGTTTCTTCACAGTTGGAAACTCTTTCATGCAATGGTGAGAATAAGAATGAGGATTCGAAGCTTGCTACTGATCAGCATGTCCCATATATTGAAGAGAAATATGCTTCCGAACACAAAGTTGAACCTCCAGACCTTGAACCAACCACTCCTTGTAATTCCCAAAACAAGGTCACAAAAATAAAATTTAATCCTTCTTCTGAAATTCGTTGTGCTCAGAAACATATACAAATTGAAAATAAACCTCCCAAGCTTGAAGCAGATGTTCATCCTGAAGATGTTACGGTCATGAAAAAGACTAGCAACAAAAGGGCAAGTCTTATCTCTTGATTAATTTTCTACTAGTATAATCATGTTTTATTTATGGGATTAACAGAGAATAGGTGATCTTGCCTGATGATAATTGAAACGATTTAGTCATTGCCTTTGTTCATCAAGTTCTATACAATGATTTTTTCTTTTTTAATTTCCTTGTTTTCAGGACAAAGAGGAATTCGAAGAAGGATTGAGTAACCTAGCTGTGCCCAAAGGTTGTTTAGTTCCGGTAGGTCACTAATATCCTGTAAATATCCTTTATTTGTTTACATTTTTTTTTTGGCTTTTAACCTTCAAATTACATCATTATTTTTGTTTTAAACATTCAAATTACATCATTAATTGTAAAAAAATAATAATAATTAAAGGGATCCGGAAACATCAAAGCTGAGCCAACCACATTGCCAGAGGCTAATAATTCCTTCATACCTCATGCAAAGCCTGCCAAGAGAAAGGTAACCTTCTGCTTCACTAGCTGTTCTCCTCTCTCTTAATTTCCAAGTAGTTAATTTCATTATTGAGGTTATGTTTATGAAAATTTATTTGTATAAATTCAAACCAATCATCGTACAAACAAATCATGTAAGTTTGATAGTAAATCTAGAGTCCATGCCCCAGTTATAATTTATAATAAGAATTATCTTTTTATAAAGTTTTAAAAGTATGAAGTTTATTATCTTCCATTCCATAAATACTTTTCAAAGTATTTTAAGAATCAAATCAAGACATCTAAGTTAAAGCCTTAATTTCTTATTATTGGGAATTGGGAGGTAGTACCAAATTTATTACATATGACTTTGAATATATCTTTGTAGCATATTTAGGTTGCATTTAGTTGATATTTTTATTCCTTATTTATTTTTTAAAAAATATGCATAGAACAAATATAACATAATATTTTAAAAATTAAGTTCCTGAATTACTTTAAAAAACTTAAATAAATTTTTATTCTTTTTTTTGGGATAAATCAAATATATGTATTTTTATTTTAGATTAAATAAAATTTTATGACTAAAAGTTAATTAATTATTATTAATTAAAATGATATTAATTTTTTTATATTCATATAGTGCTGATATGTCATAGCGGAGGGTGAGATTGTCAGATGATTACTTCTTGTGTCACGTTATCATTTATTATGACAAATTAATATGTTATATTAGTGCAATGTGGTATAAAATGGATATGGCCATTTTTTTTTTTGAAAATTGACTAAGACCGTTAATCGAATATTAATCCTTACGGCCTATTTGGTCTAAAATCAAAATATAAGAATTTAATTGAATGCAATAGAAAATAAAAATTTATTTGAATTTTCTTAAATAGTTTAAAAACTTTCTTAAATATTATGTAAAAAAAAGTAAAAAATGAATAAATGATAAATAATAAAAGTATCTACCAAATCAAAGCTTAAATATAACCTTAAGAATTAAATTACATAATGAAAAATCTCCATATTCTATGCATGAAAATATTTTTCCGATCCAAAATACTATCATAAAAAAAACACACTAATTAAAATTTAAGATTCCAATTTAAACATTTCAAATTCAAACATCAAAATAAGAGAAATGAAATTTACGAGACGAGAAAGTACTATTTCTCGTTATGTAATCAAATATTATACATAAGAAAAATTTAAAAACACCCGAAAAAATATTTTTTTTTTCGATTGTTTTAAAGTAAGCATTTTTAGCTATAATTAATGAAAAAGGGATTTGAGTTTTGCAGCAGAAAGAAGAACTGGAAAATGAAGTGGCGTTCTGGGAAGAACATAAACGTCAACTTTTAGAGGTATGTAAAACTCAATCCACATTTTTAGTTTGTTTTCCTTTTCTATATTCAGAACCAACGTATAATAAATAGTGTTTGTAATTTCTTTCCCCCATGCAATGGTTTAATCAGTCGATAGAGAAAGTAAAGGATTACTTGGAAAAGAGAAAAGCTCTCAATTTGCGGCTGAAGGCCCTCAAACTACAGGTATCTCATCTTCTTCAACCCTCGTTTCTTTGCAATACATTTGTTTTGGATATTGTTTTGCTTTGGGTTTTTTGTGTTTTTATGGGAAAGATGGTTGCAGGGGGATGATTTTGAGAGGAACTTCAGAACTGACTCCTGATGTAATATACTGGGGAGGGAGGTTACGTTTTATGCAGAGTGATCTCGAGTGCAACCATGGCTTTTGTTCTTTCCAAATTACCATACGCAGACTGATTAAGAAGAGGGTCTCTGTCCCTGCTACCGAATGGAAGGGTAGTTTTTGTAAATTTATGATGGTAATGAAATTACATCATTTTCTTTTTTTAAAAAAAAAAAAAAGAAATCAATGCATGTAATAATGCTCTTCATCGTATATCTGTAAGTATGTTAAACTTGTAAATTGATTTAGGTGTTAGAGATATATATTTGATTACAAATTAATCAAAAATTTATGATCATTTTCAACACTTAATACCTCTCATTTAATCATAATGTTAAATTCATATGCAGATACATTTTAATCGATAAACCCGAAATTTTAAAATGTTGTCCAAGACTTTCCCTGCTTAGAAAAGTTTATCCCTTTTTGTGAGCTTTATCAATCAAAGCAAGCCAAATCAATTAATCCTTTTTTGGTTAAGGAATTGGTATGAATTGAGAGGAATGAAAATAATTCATGTCTTAATTTGGTCTTTTTTTTTTTTTGGGGCCAAGTCTCTTATGTTAAACAATCCCTTATCACTTATTTTTTTTATTAAAAATTTTTCTATCATTTTCCTATTAAAATAGTAGTAGACTTTCACATTGATCCCATATTTCAAAATAATTAGTACGTTTTGATTAAAATACACTAATTATCATCCTTTTTTTTTTTTTTGGTATTAACTAGACTAAAGATGATAATTTTCTTTCACTACCTCTCTTAATATTTGGGTTTTAATTATTTCTTTTCTTTTAGAGACTTTTCGATTACTTTAATTTTTTTTCTCACTTTTGACTGGTATTTATCATTACGTGTGTTGTACATATATACTTATTTTATATTTATTTGTACATAATAATTATATATAAAATGTTTTCCAAATGTAATGTTAATTTTTTATAAACAAAAGATAATTATATATAAGACGGTTAATGATTCATTTATATAAAATTGAAAATTGTGTTAATAATAGTTTATGAATTATTCAATATTATTAAAATTAAGATAAAATAATTTTTTTTAAAAAAAATCTTTTAATATAGTCCAAATTTACCAATTAAATAAATCTTAATAATATTTTATGAAAAACATATTTTTAATGAAAATTATTCGAAACGATTAAAATTTTTATATACTTACAAAATACATAAACAATTTAAAAATAATAATAAACATCAAACAAAAATTTAAAAATTTTTAAAATGGTTAAACTATCAATAATTAAAAAAAAATCGAAATAATAATTTAAAAAATATAATAAACATCAAACAAAAATTTTTCTAGCAGGAATTTATGTACAAAACAGTTGGAAGCACAGACACCTTTGGTATGCATTGACGAACCAAACAAATCAAGACAGCAGCCCAGAGACCAAACAAGGATCAATCAAAAAGACTCATACATGATATGAATACAAATGAACACAGGTACAAGCCGGAAGAAAACTTTTCTTGCAAAAGGTTTGACCATGGCCATCACAGCCTCCGCTTTCGTTACCTCTTACAATCAGGCAGCCACAAACACACAAATATGGGAAAAAAACTTAGATGTTGATCGTCGCTTCCCAAAGCCTAAGAACTCCGTTACGACCACCACTGCATATCCTTTTCCTTTCCAGGTCTGAAGCCACACATCTCACCTGGGTACCATAAAAGAGGCCAAAGTCAAACCAGCAAAAACGTATCAAATCCCAACCAACATAGTTTTTGACCTTATAGCTACTGAAAGTAGAGAAAATCGAAACTGCTCCTTGAAGACTTTGGGAATTATTAAACTACCTCAACATACACTCAGCAAGTGACAACAAAAAGCATGTATCTGAAACAAATACAGTTTTTAAGACATCTGGGGCTTTTAAATTGATCTCGGTTGGGAGTTTGGTGAGCCTTATAGCTCCACATTGAAGGATTATGGAAGATCCGTTCAATGCTATCTCTCTTGTCCTCTCTCTTAAGTCTAAACTATACTTAAAGCATATAGTTTATCCTTTTCCACTCCTCTCTTCTATCTTTCTTCCTTTAATATCTGGGAGCACAGCTATAAACCACAAGACAGAGGTATGAAACGACAAGGACACAACAACCCCCATCAGGATGATCGCAATCAGGGGCTATTTTCTGACTTAATTTTATGTGCTTATGTGTATACATAAGTGCTAACATAATTAATTATAAACAACAAAGAACTGCACAAGAAAAAGCAACTAAGAACCATACAAGTGCAGGGAAAAATAAACATACCACAGCACTGGTCTTTTGTGGGGTCCGATAAAGTTGCCACCCAGACATTTTTGATCCAGTGTTAGAGAAGCTACCAAGTCTCTCTTGAGGCCGATGGAAGAGAGACATAGAATTGTCAGCTGCTCCAATTCCTAGCCAGTGGTCTCCAGCATTTATAGATAAGATAGCAGCACTATGAATAGTTACATTCTTCACGCATTTTATACCCCCTGCATGCGTAACAAAATAGAAACTAGTAGCATTATCGACAGCAAAAGACTAATTAAGGAGATAACTATCAAATGATTATCATCAACAAGCACAATGAAAAGTCAAACTAGTTTTAGATTAAATCGTCAGCAATTGCCTTAACCAGGTTGGATAAAAGCAAAGCTAAAAGAAACTTGAATAATACTCAGAATTTGATTATTGCACTTACCCTCCTCATTTTCCCAAAATCGGAGCAGCCCATCTGCCGAACCTGAGAGAATATTTTTCAAAATATTATTACTATATTCTATTCTTTTTCCTGCCCTAGAGATAAAATTGTTGCTACAATTCGTTCATATTTATAAAAATGCACTAAAACTTGTAAAGGTTACAGTAAAGACATAAACAGACTCGGCGCCAACCAGTTATTATTCCTTTGTCTGATGCTGAATATTCGACACAAAGCAGTGGGCCAGCATGGCAGGCAAGAACAGCATCACAAGTTCCCCGGGAAACAGACCAAACTCTAGCAGTCCAATCATCACTACCCGTGATCATAGTGTCCCCAACCATTCTAATTGACCTGCATAACTAACACATGAACACTGTTCCTTCCAAGGTTTTCACACACACACACACCAATGAATCAAAAAATTAAAAAATTCTGCATTTCTTTGCTAACCGTATCCACTTTGTATGCCCTAGAAGCTTGTGCATCTGCCTACCAGCACGGATGTCCCAGATGTTTGCTACCCTACAATGCAAACGATTCATCAGATTAATTTCAAGGCAACAAGCCATAAATCTAATTTTTTAATCTACAGGAGCATTGCAAGTGTTCTGATACATACGCGTCTCTGCCAGCAGCAGCCAAGATGCCAGTGGAGTCATCATACTCCATGCATAGAACTGCACTAGAACAGCGACCAACCGTTGCCACACAAGTATCAGTTCGAACATCCCACATCTTCACAGTTCCATCATGAGCAGATGTTAGGACACGTTCCCCTGACAGCATCCGCACACAGCTGACCTACAGTAACAGAAAGACAGGGATCTTGTGATTCAATTATCTAATTCATGTACATTCAAGAAAAGGACAAACAGCTGAGATTGTATCTCTTTTTAATACATCGCCAAAGAAAAAGCATTTAGAATTAGGAACTACTAAAAGTAAAAAAAAATTAATAAAATAAGAAAACAAAAGCTTTCCAAAGAGGTTGACAGGAAAGCAACTGTGAGTAAAATTTTGCACCAGAACATAAGAGCCACAAAACACTACATAGAAATGATCCCTATTCATGAGAAACATAATAAATAGGCTGAGCAGCTTGCTTATCCATGACAAAAAAGACATCTCTATAGGGCAAGTATCACATGTAGTAGATAATAATTTAGAACATGATTGGTAATCCAAAAAGTGCAGTAAATAATTCTGACAAAAGGTAACAAAAACATATAGCTGTAGAGAGGTTCCTTCAACTTTGATTATAGATTATTCCTTAAATGTGTATATACATAAGTACATAAGCATGTCCATACTTGTATGCCATATTCCTGACTTTACTGAGAATTGATAAAAATACAGATTTGGTTTAAAAAAGAGAATGCTAAGAAACCAGAGTGAAAAGGAAAGGTCTTATGCTTAAATCCTGTGGGCAAAAGAAAAAACCCGTTTTTCCTTTCATTTCTTTCCAATGCTAAGTCAATGTCTTCCTCCCCTGACCAACCCTTCCCCCACCCCCTTCCTCTTCTTCATTTTTACATTCTGAGTATTTTAAACAGTCAATGATAATCAATGTTGTACACATTAGTGAACTACAACAACAGAAATCATTTCATAAAGCCGCAATTGTGGACCCACTTTATCAGGAAAATAGCACTTCCTTTCTTTCTAAACATAATATATAAATAATTTTAACTCTTTTATGCAACATTCTCAGATAACCGAGCAAATCCTTGACTGGTTCAAAACCCACTGATACTACCATCAAGGTAAAAAGTTAAGATGTCCTACATTATGATTAACATAATGCTGATGATAATTGGCATTGTTCTATAGATATGCAGATATATCTTCAACAATGCCAACAGGTGCAGCAAAAGCTGTCTTCACCATTTACACATACAAGAAAAGGAACATTCCAGTCGTATACCCAGTTTGCAATCCAGAATGTTATGAACAAGCAAACCTGTGCATCATGACCCTTTAGTTCCTCTAGTAACTGGGATGTTTGCTTGTCCCATACAATAATAGACTGATCGTCAGAACCAGATACAACTTTTCCTCTGTCAGAACTAATGGCACGGATGGTTCTGCATGGAGAAAGAGTTACAGAAACTGTTAAATCAAATATGAACAAGAATAAAAATTTAACAACCAAAGGAACATTGCAATAAGAAGAAGAACCAACAAAAGGGTTTAAATATTCCATAACAGAGACCTTGTATGTCCTTTCATGGTTGTGCGAAGTTCAGAACCGCGAAGACTAGGGTCCCAAATCTTAA